AATAAGCCTGAAACAGCCGAGCATTACTATTTAAAAAGCCTTCGATTTGTCCAGGAAAGATCTATCTTGTTGAATAATATAAAATCGATTACCGTATTACCACAAACTACTAAAGTCATTCTAAAAGAGTCAATTAATCTCACCCCAGAACAAAACATCCTTATCGTAAATAATGTCCATAAATATGTAGTTGACATTAAAAGATTCACTTAACATTCTTTACTTCTTCTGCTTCTCTATGTATTGTTATATGTAGAGAGGAAAAGTTTTTTGTATATTACAATCCTCGTTAAATAAATTAAACTAATTAACAAAAATATTCAGTTTCCTATCAATGCTCTCTTTCAAGCATCAAATCTCAATGTTTCCAAAAAGATTCTATTAGAGATTTAGGGATTTTGGACGTATCGATTTGCCACTGGATCCGCCATAGTTGATTTTCTATGGAAACTCATTATACCAAATTTATCCCAATATTTTCGTCCCACTGTTTCTGAAAACGTTCTCTCTAGATTCCATAAAGATTCTATGACGACGTCGAGCATGGATTCACTAGATGTGTGCTAGTCGATTACCTATGAATTCACATTGTTTGTGAACAATATTAGTAAACAATTAGCAAAATTTGATTTAATAAATCTGATGAATTTCTATTTTATTCTATCATTTTCTGTACTAATAGAAAAAAATTTTGCTCTCCGCAATCGTAACTTTATTGAGCTCTACTCATATGTTATAACAAAATATTTTACTTTAATAATTTAATAAATCAAAGGTTTTTCATAAGATTTTTAAATATTTCTAACTTTTTTAAAATTCTAAACTATAATATAAGTAAGCGCACTACTATAGTTATTGTACCAAATTAGCGAAAAATTCGTTTTACTTTTATGTGAAATTTATATATTATTTAAAAGTGGTCGAGTTTTGTATTAGTCCCACTGTGAAGTGTAAACGAGTCACGTAACATCTACTAAGTTGAATTAAAATTTGAGGGCTTTTGTCTTGAGTGGCACGGCAACAAAAAGTATTCTGATAGCAACGATACACTGTAACAGCAGGATCCCGTCAAATACAATCGTGCAATAAACTAACAATTTAAAATCTCATATATGTTTGTATTCATTGAGCATGGAAGATTTTTCTCACCAAAAGAAGAAATAATCTTAAAAACAATCGATTGACCAATGTAATTGAACCTTAGCAAAACTCAATTTACATTCATTTTGTATTATCGTGTGATAATTTAATTTGTCTGAATACGGGTGTATATTATCCAACACGTGTGACACTCCTTATACTTGTAAAGCTCACTTTTTAAATTAGTGTCTGTATGCTTAGTCGAAAAACGTCTACAGCAATAATAGCTGTATTTCTACAATTCAAAACGATACCTTCGTAATTTAGTCAGTTTTAACTTTTCATCAGATGTTGAGTTCAAGGATCGCTCGCCTCAGTTTCAGATCACACTAGAATTTACATTTTTGATCATGTTCTTTCAAAGAGAAGGAGGAACAATGCAAATCGATAGCTTCATTGTACTTTAGATCTTCTACATCGAGCGATTGTTCGTAATTGGATCAAGATGTATTAAATGACATTCTGACACAATCAGTAACAATAGATCTATCAAAAGCGAAAAGAATATCGGTTTTTTAAACTTCCGCATAATCAATAGACGAGACTCAGCTGAGTCTATGATAAATGCGAGTGGTATCAAAAACAGACTATCTGCTTTTATTATGTTGAACTAAAAATGTGTCGTTTGGTAGATAAAGAATAGTATACTTTTTGAATAAGGCAGTCCCTAGTGAGACTTCTTCTAACCAAGATCTTGACTTCTTGAATTTTTTCAGTAAGATCTTGGTAGGAAAATATAAGAATTCAAGAAATTGCAGGAAGTCAAGAACTTGAACATCACTCAAGAGCTTGAGTGGAAGATTCAAGAATGCAAGATACTGACTTCTTGAGGTTTTTTCCAAGATCTTGTGACATTTCTTAACCCAAGATCTTGGGTACAAGAAGTTTCACTAGGGATAGTAGTTGACAAATCAATGCTTTCTAACTGGCTAAACGTAACATCAAGCAAAAACTGATGAAAAAAATTCATATTTTGAAAAAAGATTCATATCAGGGTTTATTTCCCATTTGAGTTATAATAAATAATTATAAGTCAAATGGGGAATAACCCAGAAGAAAATGAATCAGTGATTCGAGGTAAAAACACGAATGTTTGCGTTTGTTATGTGAAGGGGACTATCCCTACCTTTTATGGTTTGAAAGAAACAACACATACCGATGTTATATATAATCTTGCTGTTCGACTCACCCACTTTACAACAGCTTTTTTGAAAGTACAGAAGAAATGGCGTTTATTCAAACAACTGGTTATGATATTCGAGCTACCGGCACTACAGTAAATATCCCTGACGACGACATCGCTCGCTGTATGTACTATCTGTCGTGTGTGTGCAATGTCATCAAATGTGATGAAGATGAAATAAAACGCTATTGTGATTACCGCAACTATTGGCGTCTATCTGATGAAGAAGACCGACTCGTGTTTGTTCTATGTGCCCGTTTAGAACCTGAATTATTCGATGACAAATGCATGTTTCAAAGTGACGCTATGTGTGGTAATAGTGCCAATGAATTTTATGAAATTGGACAAGTTCGAAATCGAGTTCTCGCTGTTCAATCCATAGTAATTGCCGGTCGGACACGAGAAGTAAACAAAATTATGACGTACAAACGATCGTGGATGCAAAAATACTATTATGAGCCAATGTTGCGCTTGGCACGACGATTCAGTCAACCACAGCGTCATACTGTGGCAATTGATGCTTCAGATTGTATTATTGCGTGAACTCTTTGATTTATCCGTCTATAATTCAGAACTTGTTGAATAAAAGCTATTTCATCTATGAGATTGTAGTCTCTGAAAAAGGATATCTCAGCTATACAAACGTTTCTAGCCACGCAGATTTGCTTGTCAGTATTTCTGGTCTCAATTAGCGGAACAGAAAATAATAGTTATACAAGCACTACTTAGCTAGAAGAAAAACCCTCTTTAATTATAAAATTAACAGAAGTCTATCAGAACTTAGACCATAATTTTTTAACTTTTTTAATCATTACAGTTTCTCTGTTTACTTGTGTAGTCATCCCATTGGAACCTTTGAATAATTTCTAATTAATTTAAACTGATTTCGGTATTAAAATACACTTGAACAAATTTAAATAAAAATCCTTTTGATTAATTGAAACAACTTTTTGGGCTGGAAAACTTAATACAGACGAATCTGAGTCTTTGAATGAATCAGGAGTATTCTTAAAAGACTTTCGATGAAAATCTACATAGTAAAATACTGCTCTAAACACATGTGGATATACACTGGGTGTCGCTCTACAACATGCCCCAAGTCCCCACCTAACTTGGTTAGAGCGCTACTGACAATCTCCAGTGACCTACCTATCTGCTAAACCCGAAGGATCGAAATCTGAGAAGTACATGGTACATAGGTATTTAGACTCGCTGAATCTCGCGGCAATGTTTGTTTTGTTGTTCAGATTAAGAAACTTCGAAAGACGAATTTTTCTGAAAATTCGATTTTTTCACTGTGACCCTAGTAAAATAAAAACATTCTACCATCACCTTCATTCCTCAATCAAAGTGCTTGGAACTTGAAGAGCGAGTATAAGAAAAGATTTTCTATCAAATCTCACAACGAGAACTACAATATAAGCGGATTTTTATGGTATTTTTAATTAAAATTTTCCCATTAGAAAGTCAAGCTGAGTCTCATATTAGAGTAAGTGAAACTGATTTTTAAATTCGAATTAGTTTGAATTGATTCTCTCTCTATTTGCTCTAACTCTAACTCAGCAATAAATCGTTAAAAACAAAATCTGAAACAAATTAATTTAAACAATTTTCTAGTTTGAAACTGATTTGAACTAATTCTATCAAACTTATTTTTACCAATTTATAACTAAATTAGTTTAAACGACTTTTGAGTTTTCAATAGGTCTAAATTAGCTCGGAAAGACATTAATTCAAACTAATGGAAAATATCAAGTTAGTCCGATTAATTTAGTCGCTTACTGGTTATAATAGGTTCTAGAAAATTAAGGTATAATTAGGTACTGTACCACTATTACGTAGACTGTTGCTCAAGATAAGAGTAGAGTACTGTTGCGTTGCAAGTATAGCAATTATTAGCATAGTTGCGTTGTAACTATACTTACAATGCAAGTCATCTCGTGGGTCCCGAGTATATAGAAACAAGTAATTTTCCTCTGTTTACCATAAACTTCTCATTTATTCAACTCTTCTAAGATACTTAATTTCTAATTATACTTCAGAATACATTTGCAGCGTGACTATACTTGTAATATGACTATGGAAGAGAAACTTTGGAAGCTGTTTCCTTAAGAATTTGCGTTGTGTTTAACGATACTTGTAGAATCATATTTTGCTGACACCATCAGAATAACCCAGTATGTTCTTTTTCTGGTGAATAGATTCAACTACAACAGCAGCAGTATCAATTAATTCCACAAGTGATTAACTTTCTTGTCCTCGCAAAATATTTTAGTACTGATATCTATCTCTATCCTAACTTTCCAGCTACCGTTATCATCACCACAACAAGTAAGAAAGTAGAAGAAACTATCAGAAAAATTCGCGTTTCATTCTTTATTTATTGTACATACAAATAAAACACTGTTCAGCACAAACAACTACAACTACAACTGTAACCATAACCTATTCGAGTTTATATCCAGCGCCTGTGAACAGTTCAGCGGCAGCAGCTGGAAGTATGTGTCTGTTTAAAGAATAGTAACAGTGAATCGTAAGTAAAATTTACCTTCTGTCCATAGCTTATCGAACAAATCTATTGCTGAACGGTGATGGTGAAACTGGACCTTGTGCAACCGGTGGTACATACGAAGCCCCAACCGATTGGTCTCCAATTGGTTCTATCACACAAGTATCGTACACAGACACAAATGCAAATCAAAATTCAGGAACACCAGGACCGAGGTAGTATTGACAACTTCTTAGTTATAATTCATTCGATTAGTAGGTGAATTTTTCTGAATATCTTAAATCACGTCTATCAAATTCTCCATCATCTTTTACCTTTAAAACCAAATTTTTATTCAATTTGAATAAAAACTGATCGAGTCATTGACCTATCAGGTGCCTAATTATAGGCAAAAAGAGGAACCACTCAATTTTTGGATTGGATTCTCATCGTACTCTTACGAATAGTACTGATTGTTGCGTTCAATTTGCTTCTTCCAGGGAGAGTCATCTTTCAAAAATGTCGCCGACGACCTGGCTTTGACAAAAGATCAGTAAGAATAAAAAGTTGCTTGTTCAATCGCTCGCTATTATTCTCGTATATTTTATTACACAACTTTGTCTAGCTATTTTCTCACTTGTGCGCATCTTTGGTCCTACTGACTTTCTCATCGATATCTCACTTATCTGACTTTTCTATACACCCTATCTTATTTATATTATCACACCTTTTGCCTATGTAGCAACAACCAAAGAGTGTCAAAAACGAATATGTGGCCACCGGCTTCGTGTGAGGCCTGTAACAATGATGCCTACTTATCGATTCCAAACGCGTACTACAGCTGTATGATCAAACAAAATCTATTGTAAAATGATTGATTCCACTTAAAACTCGCTTAGAAGGAGTAAGGGGCAGCCGAGTTCATAGAACTCTATATTGATAAAATTTTCAAGATTAGCAGAAACAATTCGCATAGAGCTTTTTTCCAGTTTCTGAAACTTCAGAAATTCAGAATTAGCATCGAGTGTTCAGAAATAAAAACCAAGCTTTTTCTTAAATTCAAGAATTCAGAAATTGAATTCATCTATTTCCAATTCGAGAAAGATTCAACAATTTAGGAATTGACAGACATCTTTTGGTTTTTTCAACTGAAAGCGTACAATAATTGAAAAGTTGGAAATGTAACTTTTTATGAATTTCTTGAATTCGAAAAGGTCAAAAATTCTGTGAATTTGTATGGAATCCGTTTGAACTCACATATTCAGATATAGTCATAAATCGACGATATATGCGGACATTAGAGAGGACTAGCGTATGATTCAGTGCTGGGTAGTGGCTCACTCTCAGCATCCCACTACGCCCCACATTGCACTGTGGTTACAGAGAGACCTCCTGTTTGTTAGTCTCTGAATTAGAACTTAAGTATTCTTTCAATTCCTAAATACTAGAATTTCAAGAATTGTTCAGACTAATTCGATACAAATTCAATAATTTTTGGCTTTTTCGGATTCAAGAAATTTAGAAAAGTCACATTCTGAATTTTTGAATATTTTGTATTCTTTTGATTGAAAAAACTCAAAAGTCGGGCTCCATTTCTGAATTGTTGAACCTTTCTCGAATTAGAAAAGATGATTTCAATTTCTGAATTCCTGAATTACGAAAAAGCTTGGTTTTTATTTCTGAATACTTGATACTAATTCTGAATTCGTGGAATGGCTAATTCTAAATTTCTGAAGTTTCAGAAACTGGAAAAAAACTCTATGCTAATTCTTGAATTGTTTCTGCTAACCTTGAAAATTTCATTAATATAGAGTTCTATGAACTCGACTGCTCCTTTATGCTTACAAGAGAATTCATTCTTACGTGATGCGACAGAGCATTCATTATAACAGCCAGTAAAATAATTACTTATTCGTACCAGCACTTTCTCTATTCATTTCGTGAAAATCTCTTGCTTACACTTCAAATAACCCGAATTAGCATAAACAAAGCTTTAATGATTCTCAACACGTCAATGTGCGGATGCATGTTGGCCGCAAGTGAAGGACAAGTCAAGTTCTATATGAATAAACAAAATAAAATTATGTTACACAGAATTCGGAGAAGGTGTTTCTGAAAAACCCGGCTTTCTAGAAAACTTAAGCAAGGTATTGGTTGCCTTATATCAAATAATACTTTTCTGTCCATTAGCACTGATTGAAATGCCGCGTCCTGTATGCTCAATTTGGTAATCTAAATTAAGTGTCAGTGATATTTAAAAGTAGTATTAAAGAAAATGAAAAAAAAATGCGCATAGCATTTACTTCCATTAGAGAACGCTCCGTGCATGAGATGGAATGCGAAATATTGTTTGTAGTTGCCACAATTTTTCGTGTTGAATCAGTTGGATTATTAACGAACAAGACAACGTGTGGCATGTACAAATGAGCGTGATCAATGAAGGTGACGAATTTATTCAGTTAGACAATTGTTTCGATGTTATTTTGCTTCAATTATGTAAAACGTTAAGTCGAATACCACCCATACAAATGGATGAAGTTAACAAGATGGTATTAAACAGATGTCGATTGCATTGCATGCATGATGAAGCAGAACTAGATCGAATAAATGAGTTTGAAAACAGTTATCGTTCAGATGCTGCTATTCGATGGCATACAAAAGATTCATTTCTCTTTCGTTTACTGAACAGTGCGCGATGTACAAATGATATGAATACAGCTAATCATCAGAACCTTCTTCTCCTTTTAATTGTATGTGTACAACGAATACCAACGCAAAAAGCAGAATATGATAATATACGATATAACAAAACATGTTTTGTTTCTGATTACGGCTGATCACTGTGCTGTACCAGAAGGTATAGCTCAATGGTAGAGCATTCGACTGGTTCATAAGATTGTTCTATGTTTATGACATCGTTTTCTCGGTAATATATGCTCTGTTTTTTCTTTTTGCTCCTTGTACTGCACGTAATAATCGAATACAGAAGCATCCCCGAGTGCCTGTCTAATATCAGTAGTATCGATAAACATGTGTTCAACGTCAAAGATGTTACGATTCAAATAAATGACAACTGACTAGTTTATCCATGTATATGGCTCTCTTGCTACAGGCGGTACTCCAACAATAAGAGCAAACAGACTGGGATTGAAAATAGAAGAGTGAATTGTAACCAAAGAAACTCTCGTGATTTGTTTTCTAGTGGCAAGATCCGAATAAAATCCGAAACTTTTTTCCCTTTGACCCGACCCGAATCAATCCTTTTTACTTTAACCCGAACCCATATTTTTTACACTGATCCGAGACGATCGGATCTTACCAGATCCGCGGGTCAACCCGACCCGTTTCGGTCTCTGCTACACACTCTGTATATATTCGAGAAACACACATATTCAATATACAAAGTCCATTAGAGTCGCTTACATATTATCAAACTTGATGATACATACCAGATCTCAATGGCACAAATAGAATTTTCCTAGAATTACACAATTTTCCATATTGCGAAAAAAATCAGAATACCGTTTCGCTAAAATAGGTGCTAATGGACAGCCCATTGACACTCCATCTTCTTGCTGATAAATACTATGGTAAAACCGAAACTGAAGATTACGTGCAGCTAAAGTTGAACAAAATAAATAGTTTTGTACCATAGATAACGAAATATTCTTCTAGACTCAAATTTTCGAAATTCTGTGAGCCATCGAAAGTCGCTCCTGTTCGACGACTCACTCACAAGTCTTGGGTTTATCTCAGCACAGAATCACCTGATTCTGGCTAGCTGATATCAGAGAATAATTAAACAAATAAACATAATAAATTTAGTAGCTTAAACCATATCATATCGTAGCTGATCATGTAAAAGCCAGCAAATCCTATAATAAGATTATATATGATCTAATAAGTTCCTACTATAGGATCTCATAAGATCCTATAATAGGAATCCTACGTCATTTCTTGCTTTCGTTTCGTTTTCGTCGACCAATACCTTGCTTAAGTTTTCTAGAAAGCCGGGTTTTTCAGAAACACCTTCTCCGAATTCTGTGTAACATAATTTTATTTTGTTTATTCATATAGAACTTGACTTGTACTTCATTTGCAGCCAACATGCATCCCTACATTGAGGTGTTGAGAATCATTATTCTGCGATATTATTTGCACATCTTAAATGATTGCTTATATGTTATATACAAGGAGTGAGTCATCAAACAAACCAAGTAAATAACAACAACAAAACCTACGAATTTTCATCAAGTTTATTCATTCTGATTGATCCAAAATATCGCAACTGAATGCCACCAAAGGGGCACGTGGTGATGGTGGATATCGTGGACATGGAGCAAGAGACGGATATTCTTCAACCGATCAGACGCGTAATCAACACAGCGCCACAAACAAGCAGCATAGATATCTTAGATCAATAGATATCGTTTCTTCATTCTGAGTGGACGTGCCATCTTATGTTCTAACCACGTGTAATAACACTCTGTAGGTATATCTATTTGTTGTGTTACTTTATATGAACTAACGTATTTATTTGGTAATTTCTTGACTATATATGTATTTTTTTTCTTTGGTTTAAATTTATTTTTATAATGCCACACGAAATTCAGTCAAAATTTCAACGCACAGTGGTTCATCCACTAACATTCAGTGGTCTAAAAGACGTTCTTGTTGAAACGTTAAAAAATGATCAACAATTACAAACACAAGTGGCTGCCATAGTCAGTTCTAACAATAGTGATGTATCAAGCTCACCCAAAGATATTATTGATGTTATGTATCAAGGAGTCTTAAAAGAAATTGGTCAACGTCTGGGTGCTTTAATTAGATTTCCCACTAATTGTATTACTAAAAATTTATAATTTTGTATGTTTGATGATTATGAGTTAAATTAATATGATTCAGATACACATAAATTATTTTTTAGGATGTATGAGTTGCAGTTTATTTATTACTGACTTAATAGGATGATGAATTTATTAGTAAAATTGATTATTTGAATTACTTTTTAAAAGTACATATCGCCCGTCAGCTTTATTATAAAGTAAGTCGTAACATAGTGTATAAACTAGAAAGTTTATATGGATGATATTTTGAGCGAATTTAAATTTTCAAGATGCTTTAAATATAACTTTAGAGCAAATTATTTATTTTCATGATTATTTAATAATGATTGTGGTTATGATTTTGGTAGTGGTTGGTTATTTATTAATTTATTCTCTTTTTAGAAAAGAGTACTCTTCGAATATTGTTGCTAATCATTTGATTGAAAGTATTTGAACTGTTTTACCTATTGTAGTTTTAATTTTGTTAGTTTACCCTTCGATTTATTTGTTGTATTTAATTGATGAAAATAGAACTAATTTTCTCTGTACTTTAAAAGTTATTGGTCATCAATGATATTGAAGTTATGAAATTGATAGAAATGTTGAATTTGAATACGATTCTTATATTGACCCAGATAGTGTTGTTCGATTATTGGATGTTGATAATCGAGTATTATTGCCATCACAAGAATTTATTCGTGAATGATCTATGGCCATTTCTCTTTCTCGATTAACATCTTTAAACCAAACAACCATTATTATCATAAATAATAATAATATAAAAATCATATTCTTACTATTAAACTTAACTAACATATAAAAATTAATAAAAGAAAACATTACTACAATAGCAAAAAAAAACGGTCAAGAACTCAACTTTAACAAATGAAAAGGATTTATCATGTATTAACAATTCTTTAGCCGAAAAAACTAAAACTTTAAATAAGCTATATTAATATCTACTAAAATCAACTAAAGAAACAGACTCTACTACAATAGGTATAAAAGAATGATTGACCCCACAAATCTCAGAACATTGACCATGA